CAATAATTATGCATAATTAATTTAATTGAACTTGTAATTATCATTTGTCAAGCAATAATTTCAATTATTTTTAACATTACCATTAATTATTTTTGTAATATTATTTTAAAGATATTGGTGTAGAAAAGTGAAGGTAGAAAGAGAAATTAATAAGCATGTGTTAGGTGAATAACATTTATATAGTACTTGACATTAGCAAATGATTTTACATTTTTTTATAATCACGAGGTTTAATTCTCTCGGATCGTAGAGTATAAAAGTTTTTTACCCTCTTAATAAAGTGACTTATGGAAGATCGAAATTGTCGCACATGATATGTTAATTAAAAAATGTTGTCACTGCTTACTTTCCCAGTGATTTGCTAGAAAAATTCAATGAAATCTACCCACAAACCGACCTTCATATGTCCTTGGTGTATGGCATTATAAAAATTGTAGACATTGATTTTTCTTATATTTGCTATTTATTATTAATTTATTTGTTTTAGTGCTTGTTTGACATTACAATTGAGTTTGCTTTTAGTAATATCTGAGGTTTAATTAGTTTAATTTTCTTCAAAAATAATTTTCAATAATCGAAATTCATTTTTAAAAATTAAATAAAATCTTAAACAACCTTAAATCCAATCAAATTTTATTTGTGTTTATGAAGCTTACATTTAGCAAATTATAATTACAACGTATTGTAATTTATTTTTTATAATTTTTTAATCTATTTAATTAATATGTAAATTTTGAAGTAGATTTAAATTTTTAATATGGTACCAAAGCAATATTACCTACATAAGAAAGACTTCCTTATAAACAACCTCCAACCTAGGATTTCAAATAAATGTGAATTGTTTCTGTATTAAAAAATATTGAGAAAATAAATTTTATCGATCTAATTTTTTTTTTTATGTATAACTTTTGTAGCTTCTTTAAGCACAAGAAAGTAGATGGTCTTTTTTTTTCCAAAGGCTCTCACATTTTTTACCTTCAAAATGTAATAATTATACATACATTGGGGTGAGTATTTCATGAGCATGATGAGCATTTCATGATGTTCAAATATATAGTAAAAGACACTTGAAGTAATCAAAGAAGCAGCCTTCCACGCCATTTGGTCTATATGTATATATATATTTCCTCAATTAATTAATGTAATTAAAGAAGAATAATATAAGCCCTTAGGCTATTGTTTTTTAATAGAATGTTCCATAATACAAGACAATATCATTAATTAAGTCTGATGTTACATTTTTCTTTAAATATTTTCGATTTAATTACTAAAGAAAAATATTGATTTCTCTTAAGGTTCTTTTTGTTTTTAGAAAATATTTGTTTATAAATTATTTTTCAGATGTTATGGGGTGCTTGGGAACACGAGTAATACATGTTCGCAAATCAGCAAGCACATCATCGTGCCACTTTAGTAAAAAAAAAAAAAAAAAAGCTTGAACTATCTCTATTTTTGTAATTTTAGTCAATTATTTTTTAATTTTAAGAATGTCATATGAGTTATTTCACAGTACTTGCATATATATATTTAGTATATAATTAATTATAGTTTAATTATATAAAATTTAGATTTTCTTTAATGATTCTTCAAATTACAGTCTATTTCATATAAAATTTATTGTTTAAATTTAATTATTTAACTATTCATTTAATTAATAATTAACATATTATACAAAAGTGGGAATCTAATTTCAAAATACTAAAATAACATTATAACACAAAGACATTATATATTTTTCATTTAAGTTAATTAAAATTTGAAAATTAAGAAATAAATTATTGTAACCCAAAATAATTTATTCTAAAATGAGTAATTTTTATAATCTAAAAAAAAAAAAAGTTCATGTGACATCAGTTGTCAAAATTAAAAAAATTAGCTAAAATTATAAAAATACTAACGTTTAGGCTTTTTTTTTTTTTTAGCATTTAGCCTTTGCAAAATACTTTAATTTTCAAAATTTAGGTTGTTATCAATGGTCAATTTCTTCTTGTTGAAGTATAATTATATTTTCACTCCTATAATAAAAAAATCTTAATAAATTTAAAATGTCTCGCTCTCAACTCAACTATAGATTAAAATATAGAAAATTGATATCCAAGTGTTAGATTAGGAGTGACGGAAGTTGTCACTCTTGTACATTTCCAATTGATAAATTATCATTATCCTTCCTAATTATGTATTAATTATTTCTTATCATCTTCAAATGATTATTTATATAATAATTAATAGGCGGTTGAATTGATATGAATAAATTATATTTTTAAGACAAACTTTATTTATGAGGTTCAAATTTAAAATCGAAAATTATCAATATTAGTAGAATTTATCAAAATACCACACTGGACCAAATATGAAAATATTCATACAAATTCAAAAAATAATTATTTAAATAAACATTTATACTTGGATTTAAATATTATATGACACATTATTAATTAATTAATAATTACAATTATAAGAATACGTTTTTGTATCATTTTCTTTGCAGTTAGCAGACAATCTGAGTGGTTGGAAAAACAGAGAGTAAAAAATCGCGGGAACGGTGGGGTCGGTTCCTATGGGACCCACTCATCTATCTCTGACAAAACTTCTTTTCTTTTTTTTTTTTTTTGTTTTACCTTCAATTCATTTTTATCATTTCTTGATCTGATGGGTCCCACCCTCCCAACGTTTTTCCCCTTTGTATTAGAAGTGGGAACACTAACGTTACACGTCTTTCATAGTCAACGGTCCTGTCTGCATTGCCTTATTGACAGCTGCCTACTGTAATACTGTGCTAGTTTTTCTAAGAAAAATACATTATTATGTGCATTGACCATTCTGCCCCTCGCTATTGCAACGGCATGTTGAAGAAGGCATGCCCACCGAAGAACCGAACTGGACCGGCGTGTCATTTTTATGATCTATAACCAGATTGAAACTATCAGTTCAAATAATTAAATTAGAACCGATAATTCAAGAGCTGATTTAAATTCAAAGGGAAGCCAAAAATGCACATGTATTGGTTGGAAATTGGTGGTTCAAATTGAAATTAATGTTGAGGATCACACATTAACTAAATATCAAATACATAAATGACAAAAATAACATATAAAGGCAATAAGTTAACTAGTTAATTAGTTAGTCGTAGCATTTTAGTATCGATTGGCGAGCCAAGTAAACTTACATCATATTTTCATTTCATATGGTTTAACCTCTTACTCCATTCACTTTTACCTTTCAACTCTTAATATGACATCATAATGGATTTGCCCTGATCTAATTATTCTCCAGTTCACCTCAAAAAGTCCAGTTCAATTTTAGAGGGAGAATTTCAAGTGTTAACTGGATGTCCAATTCAGTGCAGAGGAAAGTGACAAAGTAATTATCTAATTGATTAATGCTAACCTTTTAGCATCAGTGGGTGCAAATCTGAATAAATTCACACCACACATTTTTACTTAATGAACAATTTCACTTCCAACTAAATGAAATATTTGTGTAAAATAACTTATCAACTGAAAATTATAATGTGTTAATCACCGATATTGGAGTAATAAATTTCACCAAATTTTAATTAAAATTTAAAATGTAAGTATTCAGGATTCAAATATAAAAAACCCAAAGTTGATGATGTTATCCTTGACTCCAAAATACAATATATGCTGGAATAAAAATGGAGAGTCAAAGACTCAAAGGTAACAGAAATTTGATTGAGCACTTAGTGCAATACAGTTTCATATTCCATTGGACACTTTTCCCTATTTTACATTCAACCTGTCAAAGCTTTGGTCATTATGTTGGACAGTTCTAGAAGTTCAATTTCATGCTAATTCAATAGAAATTATCTTTATAATTATAAGAAAGATGAAGATTATATATCACTAATAATTTCTTTTAACACATTTCAATTTCATAAAAATGCTCTTTAGGGTTTAATAATAATGATAGTGTATGTAAGTATCAAAAGTCTTCCATAGTATTTGTAATATGTTAAAAGACAATGGATCAGACATGGAAAATACTTATAAGGAGTAGCTTGATCGATGATAATGCATATTTAAATTTAGAAGATGATTTCAATAAATTAAGAAATTCTATTCGTATAAAAGTAATTATAAAAAGGAATAATCACTAATTCTATATTGAAATTAATTTTATACCCATAATGGATATGAATATGCTCATAGGCAATCTAAAAAAAAAAGTAAATAATCAAAATTTGTTACTTAAGTTCCTCATGCCTTGGAATAAAGGCATGTAATTAGGACGTAACTAATTAAGGTTCAATAATGGCATAAATCCTTTGAAATTTAACAATAGTATCTTAGTTTAAGGTTTGGTTAATAATTAATTTTTTTTTTAAATTACAGTCTTAATATATATATATATATATCTTTACACAATTATATTAGAAGTAGATAAAAGAATATATATTATGCTTAGAGAGTAATTAATTTAGATTCTTACAATTGACCAGAATCAAAAAAGGACAAAAGAAATTTGCAGGTTTCGGTTAGCAGCTCAGACGGAGAACAGAGAATATCAATGTGGGAAAAAGGAGAAAAAAAAATTTTAATAAAATAAAAATAAAAATTAACAAAATATCCTCGACAGATTAAAATTAAAAATAACGCCAAGGAAGGAAAAGGGCCGCCTCACTGTCTACGTGTAAGTTTGCATGGAAATGTCAACAGTGAAGTTGTGAACGGAAAAGGGTGTTTCCGTCATTTACATATTTTAAGGAAAAATAATAAAAGAATAAGAATAAGAGACTTAGACAAGGAAGCCCAAAAGCGGTTTCTGTAAAGCATCGAAAAGCGGTTTTTTGCAGGTCTTCTGGTTTTTTCTTTTCTCACAAGAGAAATTGAACAGTATTTCTTATAAGACCGCTTTATCTGAAAAATATTTTTATTTTTTTTTATTTTTATTTTGATGAAAAAGTCAGTCTGATTTTTATAGATATAAAGGAAGAAAACTTAAACAAAGGCTTGTCTTTTTATTATTTTCTTTGCATCCAATTCTTTTTTCTTCTCTATTATTCATTCATATTCTTTCTCTCTCTCTAGAAAGAAAGAAAGAAAGAAAGAAAGAAAGATGAGCTTGAAAGAAGCCATAACTAAGCGGTTATGCCATTAATGGGGTTTTCAATAGGATTTGGAGACGAAGAGGAATTGGAAAGTAAGCTCTTAGAGAGCTCTTTCATGGCTACTACTAATAAAGTCATCAATCATTCCACTCAGCTACAACATCAAAATCATCATCATCATCAAATACAGGACCATCATCATCATCATCACCATCATCATCAGCAACAGCAGCAGCAACAGCAGATTCCTTATGGAATGATGCAATCATCATCATCATCTTCAATCCCAGCTGGAAGCTTCGTGTAAATTTCTCTTGTTGCTATAAAAACATCAAACTAAAACCCATTTAGATTCATTTCCTCTCTTCTTCTTCTTCTTCTTCTTCTTTTTTTTTTTTTTTTTTTTTTTTTTTTTTTTTTCCTTATGGAATGAGCAGATTCATCAATCATCATCTTCAATCCCAGCTGGAAAGCTTCCGTGTAAATTTCTCTTGTGCCTAATAAAAACATCAAAACTAAAACCCATTTAGATTCATTTCCTCTCTTCTTCTTCTTTCTTCTTCTTCTTTTTTTTTTTTTTTTTTTTTTTTTTTTTTTTTTTTTTTTTTTTTTTTTTTTTTTTAAAATTGAACTTTGATTCAATCTCTTGCTGTTGAGTCAAAGCTCATTGGTTATTTTTTTTTTCTTATTTAACTACTCTACTACTTGCTCAACCATTTTGATACTGTAATGAAGAACATGCTTATTCTTTTTACTTATAGATATATAAAACGTAGAAGAAAGATTTATTTTTTTTATTTGATAATTATTAAGTACTTTTGGTGTCAACAGAAGCAAAGATGCTGGAGCTTATGATTTGGGAGAATTAGATCAAGCCCTTTTTCTCTATCTTGAAGGACAAGACCCATCTATTGTTCAAGACCAAAGACGTTAGCTCTCTATCTTTCTCTGCACAAAAAAAAAAAAAAAATCTTTCGTTTTCATTTTTTTTATTTTTAACTTTTGTGTTTCTGTTGGGGGGAAGATTCTCTTTGGACAGAGTTGTTTGGGTCACAGGAAAAGCATGTCCTACTGATTAAATATGTTCACAGTACTTTCTTTGACCAGATCCTCTAAAGTCTGCTTCAAGAAAGATAGAGGAAAAGATTTCTTTCTCTTTCTTTTACTCTCTGTCTCTCTTTCTTGTTTCTTGCTTTTCTTCTTTAAAGGTTTAAATTTCAAGAACCAAAAATGTTTTTTTTTCTTCTTCTACTCTTTTCGAATTTATTTTTTGGTTTCTTGTTGTTTGGAGTTTGGACCATAACATTCAACAAACCTACATAAATATCATGAATATCAGTTAATAATAAATTTTCTTGACTGAATTTCTCTACATGTACTCGAAAAGGGTACGAATAGGGTATGGGTTTTCTCTACCTTTTACTGTTTTCTTTCTCCTTTTTCCATTTTTATAACTTAGAGCTACAATCGCATGACGATTACTCATATCTCTTGCCTTTCTCATGATTCGTCCTTTAATGATTCTCTCTTTTTGCGTCTAAAAAAATTTTCTATAAAAAGAATTAATGTTTGTAATAATTTGTGTATGTGTGTGTACGCAGAGGGTGGGGGAATGAGACCTCCAACTTTGAACATTTTCCCCTCACAGCCTATGCACGCAGTAGAGCCATCATCAACGAAGGTAATTCTAATATCCAACAAAACCAAACCTTTAAAAACATAATATAAGCTTGTTTTCTTGCTTATGTTTTATTATATAAAAACAATACCTAATTATATAATAAACAATAACCTAAATTATATAATAATAAATAATAATAATAATAATAATAATATATAATAATAATAATGGTTTTGTTTGGATTTGGGTCAGGGAAATACCTTCTAGGATTAGTTCTTCCAGCAACATAAGTGGTTCAAAGACATCAGAGCAGTCCATGGGTTGGGCCAATGCAAGAAATGATTCTGCTGCTGGCTGGCCGTGTGCCGCTGCTTCATGGGCCTGAACAGCTAAATCTGTTCAAGGTAGCTTAATTAAATATTAAAAGATTAATTAATTATGAGAATCTTTGGTTTTTAATTATTATTTGCGTTTATACCAATAATAATAATAATAATAATAATAATGGGTTTGTTTGGATTTGGTAGGGAAATACTCCTGGATTAGTTTCTCCAGCAACTAGTGGTTCAAAAAGACCATCAGAGCAGTCCATGGAGTTGGCCAATGCAAGAAATGATTCTGCTGCTGCTGCCGCCGCTGCTTCTGGGCCTGAACCAGCTAAATCTGTCAAGGTAGCTTAATTAAATATTAAAAGATTAATTAATTAATGAGAATCTTTGTTTTTAATTAATTATTTGCGTTTATACAATCTTGATTCTTGTTATGGCAGCGAGAAGGGAACCGTAAAGGACCAACAACTTCAAGTTCTGAACAAGAAGGACCCAAGACACCAGACCCTAAGGTGATTTGATTGCTTTGGTATATATATATATGTATTTGCATTTTCTTTTTAATAATTTTCTTGATTTGTTCCAACGTTGAATATTTTGGCTTGATTATCTATTTCTATGCAGACATTGAGGAGACTTGCTCAGAATAGAGAAGCAGCAAGGAAAAGCAGGCTAAGAAAAAAGGTTCAATACAACAGAAAATTATTGTTTCCAATAATTATTTTCCTTCTCAGTTTTCAAAAAACAGATTTGTTTTTTCAACTCATAAAATAATAATTTTCGCTTCTTCTTTTTTCCTCTCTTTCTTATTTGATGATTTTAGGCTTACGTTCAGCAACTAGAGTCAAGTAGAATTAGGCTAACCCAATTGGAGCAAGAGCTGCAAAGAGCTAGAGCTCAAGTAAGTTTTAATTTCTTCATGTTATAATTAATTAAAAATTTTAAACCCTATCCCATTATATATGTTGTTAATTAAATAATTTTTTGGTTTATTAGGGCCTATTCTTTGGTGGAGGAGGTCTTATGGGTGGAGATCAAGGTCTTCCAATAGGTATCAACAATATTAGCTCAGGTAAGCATATGTATAATTATCTTAATTAGAGTAATTTACTGTTTCAACAAGGAAAGTTTTGGTCCAGTAAAAACAATTAAAGGGCTTAATTAATTTAAATTTGTTCAGATGCTGCAGTATTCGACATCGAGTATGCAAGGTGGCTAGAGGAGCATCATCGTCTAACATGTGAGCTACGAGCAGCAGTGCAGGAGCATCTGCCCGAAAATGAGCTTAGGCTTTTTGTAGACAATTGTTTAGCTCATTATGATGAGGTTATAAGCCTAAAAGGCATGGTTGCTAAATCCGACGTCTTCCATCTCGTTTCTGGCATGTGGAAGACGCCGGCAGAGCGTTGCTTCATGTGGATGGGTGGTTTCCGGCCATCTGAGCTCATCAAGGTACTCAAACCCTATTCTTTTCATGAATATATATATATAAAGAAAACAATGTTTTTCCCAACACTTTAGCCATTAGAAGAAGCATGTATGACAGTATGTGACAATAAAATGCCAAAAGCATGCATTAAGGTGCAAATTAGTTCAATTTAACTAATAATGAAAATCATAAGAATAATGATTAATAACATTAAACTCGAGACATGTTAATCATGAAAATGACTTCAATATCAATCAGATAATTTTTGTTGTAATTCTTTCAACTTCAACAATTTCCAAAATACCAAAGAAATAATTGTAAAACTAATGATTTCATCGTTTTTTTTTTTTTTACTAGGATATAAAACTGCTCTCGTTTCAGGGTTTGTAACTGTAACTCAAGTGCATACTATCTCATTAGACTTTAGTAATTTAGTTGTTAAGTCTCTATCTCATAATATATAAAAATATCCAAGAAATATTAATCACCAACGAACTTGTCATTAAAAAAGTTTTGACTGAAAGTAAAATAATAAATGGCTGTGAAGTTTAATAATCACATGCTAGTTCTATTATTAGAAGGAATATATATTGCACAAGGCATATATCTATATATTTATATAAATAAAACTGTATAGTTGAGAGGTTGAAAAATATATTTATAAATATATATAGACGTTATTATTGCATGGTGCAAGTTGTGTGTAGCATTGAAAAAGAAGATAGAAAGGAAAGAAAGAAAACACAGAAAGGATCAAAATCAAAGAATGACGAAAGGGTTTCTACTAAAGAGTAGAGTTAGGTGTCAATACAAAAAAGGTTATGTCTGGTAATAGAACTTATGGTTACAACACTTCTACAGAAAGAGGATGGAAACGATTGCACGGTTTCTATCTGCTCCTCTTCTCTTCTCTTTCTTCTCATTGATAGTAACAACTCTTGTTTTTATTTTCATTTTTCCTTTCGTTTTCTAGTCAATAATACACTTTACTTTCTTGGATATAAATATTTGCTCCTCTTTGTCTATCCTTTCCTCAGATACATTAAAAGGGTAAAGAGAAGAACTGTAATTTGATTTATATAACTAATAATTGCAGATTATATTGAACCAAATAGAGCCCCTAACAGAGCAACAAATACTGGGTATATGTGGGTTGCAACAATCAACACAAGAAGCAGAAGAAGCTCTTTCACAAGGGCTTGAAGCTCTGAATCAATCTTTGTCAGATACAATAGCTTCTGATTCATTGAGTTGCCCTCCAAATATGGCTAACTATATGGGTCAGATGGCTGTGGCCATGAACAAGCTTTCTACACTTGAAGGTTTTGTTAGACAGGTACGAGTAGAGTAATCAATTAATTAATTTTTTATAATTCTCTTTAAATCCTTTTGTGGGGCCCATGTAATGGGGTGGGTGGGTCCCAGGTGAACAAGAACAGGAATATGTTCTTGTTCCCATTTGGGTTGGGAAAACCTAACCGACCCAAATGCATGAACTACTCCATGTCTTATCTTCGTGAGGTGCATGGTTAGTTACATTGTCTGACAAATACATCTGCAACTAGGAGAAATGTCAGGGAGCGTGTGTTTGGTATTAGTATTACTGTTTGAGTTATTTTCAAAGGGGTTTTCACTTCACATCAATTAATCATAAAAATTACTAAAAAAATAGCATTATGGATTTTTTTTTCAACAATATTTTTTTAATGTTCAAAAAAAAAAAAGTTTCAAGCATAATGTTAAATAGACTATATACTTCAATATAATAAAATAGAAGGTATAATAAATTAAAATTTTAAAAAGAATCATAGAAAAGTTAAAATAGCGATTATTTATGTAAAATAACAATTAATAATATTAAAACAGTTAATAGGGAGGTAGTTAAACAATATTTTTTATTATTAATGAGTAAAATATATTGTTTAGAGAGCCTTATTAAGGGTGAAAATGTTTATTAGCTGCACTTTCCCTGTTCAGCAAAATTAGCTATTTTTGTAGTTATTAGTTATTTTAGTAGCATTTAGCTATTTTAGTAGTTTTTCATAAATCGCTAAGGTTAACCTTTTATAAAACGCTACCTTAATCTCTAAAAATTAATTTAAACGTTAAATTATCAAAAACTATAAATAGTATTTAGCATTTTAATTAGTTTAAATATTAAAAATCACTTAAAAGGCGGTATCCGATAACAACCTTTGTATATTATGGTTATAGCAATAGAACATGTTCACAGTGTCACGATGGAGTTTAGAACAAATCTGTACTAATGACACTCTTAACAGAAATTTGGGACCCACAAAATGAAGTTTATACATACATATCAACATCTGATCAAGCCCATGTTTATATGATGTTATGGTCGTAACTGTTTGACTTAAAACGACAAATACCGTCCATCCTTCATAACTTCCTTTTTGACGGTTGAAAAGAGAAACAAACACGCACAGCATCCATAAATTGACTCAGTGGGTCTTCAGTTGATTCAGTCCGAGTTAGGTCATCTCGTTGAAACACATTTTCCATTAGGTTAGGTTTTTAATTATTCTTATGTCATTATTAATCCCCCTAAATTTGGTTTAAGTTGTTTAATTTGACAAAAAAATGTAAAACATTAATAATAATAATAATTATAATAATGATAATAGTTATTTTTCTTTTTGGTGCACTAGAAATTTTTTAGGTGGGGGCCATTGGTTGGAAAGCTAGGTTCAAAAGCTTTGAAAAGATAAATCAGATTTTAATTAAATTGATTTTAATGATTAGTCATTAACAATGTAAATCAGAATTCTAGTCAAGAAATTATTGTGGAAAGTTATGACATTCTTGAAAATATTAACCCGTGGGCTCTCGGGTTGTAGTTTAGTTGGTTATACAGCTAGACATGTAAAAAGAGTTTTCAGGTTCGATTCACACTAAACATTTGTATGAAGGGATAAAAACATTAATTATGACTAAGCCACAAGCCAGATTAGACGGTCCCTGATAATAGGATTCGGATATCAATGGCTTAAAAAAAAAAAAAAACCTGTGAGTTCTAATACAATACTTCACTCAAGATACATTTTAATTGTAATTCAAAATTGACTTTTTGTAATGTTTTGAATTTCCTTTTATTGGTCTAATTAAATACATGAACTTAATTACCATTAACAACTCACTTAGAACAAATAAGGATTTCTTAAAATTAACCAATTACTTCTAATTTCCAAATTATTATATTACTAAATATAGTTTTGTCCCTATCAATTTATCAAACTTCTAGACATTATTGACAGTGAGAACTTACTACCCACAACCTATTCACATTTCATTTTCAATTATTTTGCTACTTTCTTTAACCCATTTGACAATCAATACCTCTCAAGAATCATAAAGTCATGGTAGATAGCCATTTAATGTTAAACATTGAATAATTAAACTAAAATTATTATTAATCTTGCTGTTAAAGTCAATTAATCGAGTTTAATCTAATTAATATATTAATGAAATGTTTTTGCTTAAAAATTGAATTATATTGTATACTCACAGGCAGATAATTTGAGGCATCAAACCCTTCATCGGCTGCATCAAATATTGACAACCCGGCAAGCTGCACGGTGTTTTCTGGCGATTGCAGAGTATTTCCATCGTCTCCGAGCACTGAGCTCACTCTGGATGGCTCGTCCCCGGCAAGAATAATAGAAACCCTAGCTAGCTAGAAACATAATTAGCCACTTTTTATATATTTTTATAATTATAGTGTCACTTTCTCTCGATTATAAAAAATATATGGCTTTTCTCCCTTTTTCTAATATTCCTTTTGCTTAATTACTCTCTACAAAAGATAATGTATAGATAGACAAAAGGTAGATTAAATTTAAAGCAGTAGAACTTTCTCTCGATCTGTGTCTCACTTTCTTCTTTCCATTTTCTTCCCCTCCAGTTCTTCTTGAATGAGGAAATTCAGAGAAGCAATGATTAATCGTGGCAGCCATTAAAAAACAATAATAAGAGTAATAATAATAATACTTGGCAGCCTTTTTTGACTGTAAATTAGAAATAGAAATTTTAGTAATTTGAAGAAGATAAGAAGACTGAGAAGAAATAGGGCATTGAAAATAGGTAAGGAGGAGGAGGGGGAGGAGAAGAAGAAGAAGAAGACAAAGACTGTTTTGTGTTTGTGTTTATCAAGAAATGAAGACAAAACCTATTTTGGTGTGAAATAAGGGTAAGAAGCCGAGTGTTCAAACTTGAATTTCCATTTGGCCTAGGTTTAGCTGCATTTGTTGCCTTATTATTATTATTATTATTATTATTATTATTATTATTATTATTATTATTATTTAAAATTTTAGATATTCTAATTTATAGTTCTATTGTTATAATTAAAATCTCAGTTGTACAAACACCAAAAGATTTGTATTTCAAAATCTTAATTATGATATTTTCACTTTCAAGTGAAAGTGGATATAGGCATGCATATAATTTTATTCTTTCAAATATAAGTACATTATTTGACTTTTATATTTTTATTAATATTTATATTTACCAATAGAAAATTAAAAGAATTTTTTACAAAGGGATTTAGCAATGTAATAATTATAATACATGAATTAGACTGTGTAATTTTAAAAGCTGAGATCCTAACTAGTATTCTTGAAAAAATTAGGAAAAGACTTATGATCGACCTAGAAATGGCTTGAAAAGCAAAGAAGCTGGGAATTAGCATCTGGTTTGGTATTTGGCAATAGAGATATAAATAAGTGGAGTTAAATTTAAGTATAATGAGTTTGAGTTAAAGTTCATTAGTTATAAATTCGAGTTTTAACTCAATTCAAATTGCAAGATTAAATTTACAAAATTTGACGAACTTGGTTTGTTAAGAGATAGAATGAATTTGTAAAATAGGATAAAATTTCAATTTAAGCTCTTCCGAATTAATTCACAAACTTTAATATCAAATTGACTCATAAAGTCTCATTTCAAAATTCGAGTTAACCTCAATGAAGAGAACTCAGTTCTTTTCGTTAAAATTATGAAGGAATTAATTTTAACGAGTGTTTTTTGGACTCCAACATCCAACAGATTTATAAACAGTTGGGCTCATTTACACATAAATAGTAAGTCCATTGGGTCATCAAGGCCGAAACGGTGCCGTTTGTCCTCGCCGTGGTCCCAAACCAGCAGCTGAAAAGCCTGAAAAGACAAAGGAGTGAAAAAGCCGCATGTCAAGAAGCGCAAGCGCAAGCCCAAACCCACCAAGCTCAGGTTTTTACATGGGATATGATTTTTTTTTTTTTTTTGAAAATTGAAATGAATTTTTTTTTGGTTCGTGTAACAGGGAGAGCATAACAGCAGGGAACGGTGTTGATTTTGTTGGCGGGGTTTATGGGAAAGAGAGTTGTTTTCTTGAAGCAGCTTCCTTCTGGTTTGCTTTTGGTCACTGGTAAGTTTTTTTTTTTCTTTTCTTCGATTCTTGAAACAAACTGGAAAATTAAGTGGTTTGTCGATATAAATTGGAGTTTAACTACTGTGCTTGAAATTTAGTGATGGGTATAGTGAATTAGTGACCATTGTCTATTCTAGTCCCCTTTCATTTCCAGCATGTTCGTCTTTTTTAAGGTAATAAATGGTGTTGCCCCTAATAAAAGAAGTCTGAACCAATCTTAAGTTAATGCAACCTCCACCAAAGTTGATGTCTGAAAGGAAGAAAAAGAATGGGGAGCCCGGAGGCTGAGAAAGAGGTTAGTTTTAACTCTTGTTTATATCTTAGTTTTCTTTGGTAAACAGTTATGACAGGCTCGTCTAAACATATTTTATTTGTCATACTTTTCAATGATCATGACCAAGTAAGAATTTATGGGCCATGGTTCAAAACTGTAGTGGTGGTTGGAGCAATGCCAAGTCTTATGTGATGGCCCTTGCCAAATTTGCCTTACAAGGGCTTGAAGGGTGGGATACTTCATAAAAATTTAAGGACAGACAATTCTGTATCTCTTTTTATAGCATTGTATTAAAACTCTGAGAACAAAAGAGAAGAAAAAAAAAAAATAAATCCCTGTAAAATGTAACCAGAAGTCAGGATATGTTGTCTCATGGTACAGAAAATGATTCTATTCTTGTAGTGTTTCTGGTACCATTAAGGAGAGGAATGAAGTGCTTTCAATATCTTTCGCAACTGCTTATTTGATAGAATTTTATTAGAGGTAAATAATAGGAAGAAACAGATTAAAGGTTGGTAAATGATTTATTGAAAACAATAAAAGAAACAATATTATTGAGATTGAAAAACAAAGCAAGAGAGAGCTTTCTATGGTTTCTACTTCTCAAAGCAAGCTATCAGCTCGAGATGGCAATCTCCTGAAGAAATTGCTAGGAATTGATGGTAACTTGCTTCGAAATCTAGGATGCCTAAGCCAAAATAAGCCTGCAATCAACACAATTATCCTGAAAGGTGTTATATAAAGCACAACAGCTGCAATAAAACAGAAAATCACAAAAAGACTTGTTGCTCTTGGATCTCTCCAGCTTAGCAGAGCCTGAAATCTTTCCCCTTGTGTTGCCATATCACCCACTACCGTCTGAATCCTTCCTGCAACACTTCTAAGCCTATCATACCTCATTCGCGCTACATCTTGTTGCTTTGATGTAGGGAAAGTGTCGAATTCCTCATCTAGTTCATCTGGATGAACTACTTCTGCACATGATAGTTTAGTATCCATATGAGGAGGGTGTCTCGGCCTGAACCGATAGTTCCATATTCCAATCAAGAACATATATAGGAAAATAGTTGGGAGAATGAGTTCTGGGTAGCATATCAGTATAAAAAATAGAACATGAACTAGAACTGTAGTGACTGGATTCTTCCATTGACATACTTCACCAAGCCATTTGCTCATTGAAATTGCACCAGAAAATAATGACACAATCCTAAAGAAGTTAGCTTTGCTTCTTCTCATGCTCCACATGTGAGAATCCACATCTAGCATGTACTCCACAACTTCTTTCCTCAACGGTGGCTCTGCTCGTCCAAGCCTTACAGCTACAATATTCATTGCTTGATATCTTAAACTGTCAAGCTGGTTAACTGTGAATGGATGCAGATAATGCATTTTTGGTAGTAACGGATGACCATAGAGGTAAATCATGTTGGCCAGTGATAGGCAGGTGAACCGAACTGCTAACTGCAGTTCTCCCATCTTTTTTAATCCAGATGGTTGTAGAACAAGAAGTGGGTAAGAGTGAGTGTAAATTCTATCTGTTTCTAGTGTAGATAGTCGAATTCTCACTTTTCCAATTCTCGAGTCACCTTTAGCTCCACTGCCATTTCCACCTAAGTGACAGTTGTCAAAAACTCCTATCGTGATAACTGTGCAAGGATCATAAACTTCCCATGTATATTGCTCATTCCACTTTGGATTGAAGTTGTCAAGGATTGTTCTTGTTCGAACCCACTTCAATCCGTACTTTGCTACGCAATAAGAATCTGTAGTTCCTTTACTATCATTTTTCTTCATTGGAAGAAGCCCTTGTGCACTTAGAATTCCCACTTCAAGGATTCCAATAGGATTCTTCCAAAGCTGTCTTGCTGTTGGCCGCTGATCGCTTATGTACATTGTCGATTCATCTAGCACATGATAAGCACCTTCAAGACAAACTCTTAAATGAATTCTGCTTGAAAATTTCAGCTCATGCCTTTTATCTCCCTCTAAGGCACCAAACCCAAATTTTTCAAGGTTGAACCATTTAGAATGAACAGGCCGGTGATCTAATCGCCTTTCAAAGATGTGAAGAGGCAGAATTAACCTCCCCATAACTTCATCTTTTGCAGAACTCATTTTGTTTTCTACAGTAAGATACAACTGATCCTCAAAAGGCTCTGCTGCTGCAAAGATCAAATCTTCATTCCATGTTGGATTGTTGGTGCGAATTGGGCAGAGTTTAGTTTTAAGTACCTGATTTCCAACTTGAGCCTTGACAAAAACCTGTGGCAATTGGGTTTTATCTTGTGGCTCCATATCCTGAGCTTCAATAACATTAACTCTTAGATACCAGAGTTTTGGCGATACATAAACTTTTGATCGAACACTGTAAACGCCTTCCCCTTGTACTGACGCAGCATCTGAGTTCCATGCCTCAGGAAATGCTTCATCAGCTTGTGTTCCCATCCAAACTGCAAGCATTACTTCACCTTTGACTTTACTATCCCCATGTCGATCCTCTAGTCTATACCATTGAGGTGCCAAAGGACTATCAGGTGGTACTCTAGTAGGCACTTCATGCATATCAAACACTACCTTCCCTACATAATCATCTCTCCCCACCATTTCTCTATCTCGAACAAACACTTCAAGAACTGAAGACTGAATCTTGTCTTTCGAAAATGCAAAGACTTGTTTCCATTCAGGATTCGTTTTCTTCTCAAAATGCTTTGTTCTTCCTCTATAATTCCCAACTTTCACTTCCACATATGGATCCAAGTTACCAGTTACAGGGTTTGTAGGAAGATCTCTCGCCTTCTCTACTCGAACATACAGATAAAACATCTGCTCAACAAGATCATATGTGCTTGTGGCTCTGTCACTGCTAATCCAACCGCCTCCACTGCGTAATCCTCCATGTGGCCATCTTTCTCCAAGCTGAGGCTTTGTATCCTTCAGCTTGAAGTCCTCTTTAGCATCTAACGGATTCATTTATGTGAATTGCTGAGCAATTGTAAACATGCAATCTCTAGCGTTTGAAATATTTGATGTTTAATTGCGGTACGAATTCTGGTTTGGAAGACAACTTCTAAAATACAAGTTCAGATGATCTTCACTGTCTCAAAAGAGCATCTGCCAACTCCACTACCAGCTTCACAATAACTTTTTGTTTGATTTGAAATTTTGAACAGTGATGGAATCTTAATTTTACAAGAAGAAGAAAACAATAAGAGAAAGAATGATCAAAGTTTTGATTGAAAATGAAAAGGTACTGACTTGCTACATTACTGTAAGTTGTTGTAGCTGAAGTATAAGGAGTATGCTTTGTTCAAAAGCATATATCCAAATTAAAATGGTCCATAATTAGCCATTTTTGTATAAAAGAGTATTGATACCCCAACTTGAGAGGACAAAGATAGCCTTTTTTAAGATTTTTAAACAAGGTGACTTTGGTGGGTGTTTTTCACTTTCATAGATTCTTTGCTTTATTTATTTAATTGCCAAAATGAAATAATAAAGTAAATTAAGGTACCTAAATTGCTTTTCAGCTTCACATATTAGACAACTTTAATATTTGTGGCACAGCAATTATGCAAACGGACTAACAGTTGTCTTCTTTTTGGTTTCAGCACCACAGTCAAATGTGAAGGCAAAGGAAGCAAAAAAAAAAAAAAAAAAATGGTCGCATAATTAGCCATTTTGTTATAAAAAAGTATTGATACGCCCAACTTGAGAGGACAAAGATAGCCTTTTTTAAGATTTTTTAAAACAAGGTGATTTGGTGGGTGTTTTTTCACTTTCATAGATTCTGTTGGCTTTATTTATTAATTGCCAAAATGAAATAATAAAGTAAATTAAGGTACATAAATTGCTTTTCAGCTTCACTATTAGACAACTTTAATATTTTGTGGGCACAGCAAATTATGCAAACGGACTAACAGTTTTGTCTTCTTTTTGGTTTTAAGCACCAAACAGTCAAATGTGAAGGCAAAAGGAAGCAAAAAAAAAAACAAAAAAAAAAAAAAAAAAAAAAAAAGGGTAAGTTACGATAACACCCCTCAAATTTCTCATAGTTATTAATTTAGTCCCCACTATTTTCAAAATAGTACTTTTAGTACCAAAGCCAACTTCTATTAAGAAATGCATGATTTTGATGGACACAAAAGGGATTTATAATATAAATTCGAGGACTAAAGTAAAAAAAATTAAGAATTCAAATATTATATAAGCTAAAATGTCAAGTATTAAAGTGTGGAGAAAAATTCATTTTATAAACAATGGTTAAATTGTTGGTTCATTAACAAATTTAAAAGATCAAGATACTAATTTAAAAAAAGCAAGGACCAATTTTCTGATTATGATTAACTCAAGGGTGTTATAGCAATTTACGCTTAAGGAAATGGTAACCTCGAAGATAGAAAAAGCAGTAGAGAAAGCTTAAGAGTGAGCCCTTACTCATAAAGATGCTTTGTCTAATATTCTCCATCTTTATTTCTGCTTTAATTTTATTTTTTTTCGTACTTTTGTTCATATAAAGTAAAATTTAGTTTAGTTCTTGTTTAGAAAGCTCAGCCCCTTAAAATGCTGGTCAAAAGCTAGTTTAGTGGCAATAGAATCATTGAAGTGTACAAAATTCTTTGTACTTGGTGTTGGATGGTAGCTGTAATAGCAAAGACACCAAGGAAAATAATCATCTTGAACCAAGAAATGTTCCTCCTTTACAGAAGGAGCATCTTCTGCTTTACAATAATGTGAGAATAATTATGGACTTCTATGTTTGCAGAAGCGATGAATGTAGTTTAAAGATCACGTTTCACTATTACTTCAAAGATTTAAGATGATGATTGAACCTTCTATTAGAATATTGTAGCAGAAAAATGCCGCTACTGATGCCTTTTTGAAGAACTTAATTAATATTTGAGCATTGTAATTATAATATCATGATTGCTTGATCATAAATATTAGATTAATTTCTATAGATGTGATTTCATTTATGATTATTATGTTAAGATGTTATGCTGTGTATGCATGATTGCACTTATCATCATCATCATCATCTTATGATGCTTTTGATGCTGTCTGGTTCCTTAAAAGAAGAAGTAGCTTTACCCCATATTTTGCTTCAGCTTTAACGAAGAAGAGAGTCAGACTAGTGAGCGATCACTTTTTATCCATACCGAGGGAAAAGGGTTGTCCAATTTCTTAGAATTATGTTAAGGGAAGAATTTGGACAGTTACATTAGATTATACAAAGCCTAAGTTGTTTCCGAAAATGACTTGCACTTGAAAAGTATTTTCCATATAACTTAACTTTTGTTTTTGGTTGCAAATAATTAATTAAAAGGATATTTAAAGTTTTAATCTATAAGGCTATAAAAATATTTAAAATTATAAAAATTTCATTTTTTAAAAACGTAATGTTAAAATATGAGAAAAAAAAAATGCATAAAATGACAAATTGTGGTAATTGTTGGTGACTCATTGTGTTGGTCAACGGTGATGTCCCTCCGTCCTAAAAATCATATTTCACTTTTTATTTTTACACATATTAAAAAAATAATAATTATTATAGTTAAAGAATAATTTTATTCATATAATTTTTTTATTACGCCTATTTTAAATAATACATGATCAATTATTATATTGAAATAATAAATAAGAATTATTAAAAATAAAATAAAATTTAATAAGGGTATAATAGATAATTTCAAGATTAATTATAATGAAAAAAGGAAAGTGGATTATATTTTAGAATAAATTAAAAAGAGAAAATGAATCATCTTTTTGGGATGGACAAAGTATATACGATTAAATAGTTTAAACTCAAAAAGATGGACAAAGTATATGTGATTAAATAGTTTAAACTTTGAATTTAGGCCCAAGATTGGGCTCGACTTTGAGATTTTAGCCTCGTCAAACACTTTACATTTACACGAATTTAGGCCCTAAAATGCGCTGTTGGTTAATCGGGTCGGGTTCAAAATTGGATTTCAATCCGATCCAAAATCAGTTAAATTATTATCACATTCTTATATTATTTAAGGATGGTTAATTATTTAATTCTTAAATTTTGATTGAAATTATTATCACATTCTTATAGTTTGATAAAATTACAATTCATTTTTAAGATTTAGCCTCGTTAATAAAAAATGTCGTTGATTTCATGTATAATTAATTAAATGTATACAAAAAAAGTAGTAAATTTCTAATCACAATAGTACTAATGTTTCTTTTATTCGTCGATCTGCAAATGGTGTGGCGCATATTTTAGCTAAGACAATTCATTCTTTGTCAGATCTGGTGAAATTTTTAGTTTCAGCTCTTAATTGTATTATTGATGTTTTGAGGCTTGATAGTCTTGAGTAATGCAATTCTATTATTTTCATAAAAAGGAAAATTAGGATGTACTTTGCTATTATTTTTATAGAGTAGTCTTTAGCTGTTAACTATTTTAGTAACTTTTTATAAAATGCTAAAAAATAAATGTTGTTATATATGAGTTGACTTTTTATAAAATATTATCTTTTAACTTTTACAGTCTAATTCAAATAATATGAGTTAACTTTTTATAAAACGCTATTTTAACCTCTAAAAACTAATTCAAATAATATGTTACATAATGCCAGAAAGAATAGCGTATTAAAACTTTAAAAGTTAATTAACAAAATTGTCGCAGAATGCGGATACGATGATTATACTTTTTTATTTCCATTGTATATGTACAAATTTTGCTTTCATCATATATTACATCATCTTATCCAAATTCATGAACAATTCCGTTCGGCGCTCCTACAAAATAAACAAGACCATCTTTAATTTGCATCTCAGAACATGAATACCCTTTTCCTTTCCCTCCTAAGTATTTCAACTCTCCTTTCCCTTTGCCTCTCTGCAGAACTCTGCAACCCCCATGACAAGAAAGTCCTCCTCCAAATCAAACAAGACTTCGGCAATCCTTATCTTCTTGCTTCATGGAAATCAGACGCTGATTGCTGCACCAGCTGGTACCAGGTCGAATGCGACTCCAAAACGCATCGAATAATCTCCCTTACCATATTCGCCGGCGAACTTTCCGGCCAAATCCCACCTTCAGTTGGCTACTTGCCTTACCTTGAAGACCTAACATTTCGCAAACTTACAAACGTTACAGGCCCTATACAACCCGCCATTTCCAAGCTCAAGAATCTCAAGTTCCTCCGGCTTAGTTGGTTAAACCTAACCGGTTCAGTCCCTGACTTTCTCGGCGATCTCAAGAATCTTACGTTCTTGGATCTTGCTTTTAACAGTCTTTCTGGTACAATACCAAGCTCGCTTTCTTTATTACCAAATCTTGATGCGCTTCATTTAGATAGAAACAAGCTTACAGGTCCAATCCCAGATTCATTTGGTTTCTTTAACGGCAAAGTACCTTCTCTTTACTTGTCTCATAACCAACTTTCTGGTAAAATCCCTGAATCTTTAGGTAAAATGGATTTTGATATCATTGATTTTTCTCGTAACAAGCTGGAAGGCGATGCTTCAATGCTGTTTGGGCTAAATAAAAGTACTATAATGGTGGATTTGTCAAGAAATGTTTTGGAGTTTGATTTGTCGAAGGTTGTGTTTCCAAGTAGCTTGACGAACTTGGATATTAACCATAACAAGATCTATGGTAGCCTTCCAGCTCAGTTAACACAGCTTAATCTTCAGTTGTTGAATGTGAGTTATAATAGGCTGTGTGGGGAAATTCCAGTTGGTGGGAAATTGCAGAGTTTCGATTACACAAATTATTTCCATAATCGGTGCTTGTGTGGTGCTCCTCTTCCAAGCTGCAAGTAGGCTAGAAATCAAATATAGTTGCTGTTAATTAACGGAGTCTATGCATATTAAGTGAACCATAGACTGATCTCTATAAAAAGTTTCTTTGAATTAAGTGTTTTCGTATTGTGTCGTTGGTGTTTGTATTCAAATTAATAAATAATTTCACATAGATTAATAAATCTAATGTTTTATATTTAGATTAGTCATTTATAAACAAACCTCTGAACCCTTAATTTTTCCTTTTTGGAAAATTATACAATATTCGAAGCTCATTAGCCAGACAAACCTACGAAGAAAAAGCAAGGTGGTCCTTTGAACGCCCTTGTATCTAGTAGCAATTCTTTACGCCCAAGGGCTTACAAGTCTTTTTCTATAATTTGATATTATTTCTTTTTTTTTTTTTAAACCGTGGAAATTCGAAAAGGTATAATCATAACCCGCAAAAATTGGGCAAATTGTCATCTCTATTGGCAAGAAACAAACAGATTGGATCCAACTCAAGCCTTAGTAATAATGTTTATAAGATTTTGAGGATCTCATTTTCATCGAGTTACTTTACCTGTACGCTATGATATAAGTGAGGAATCAATAATTTTTGCGATCTTTTTTTTCCGCAAAATATGTAAATTTTATCTTATTTTGATTTATTAAAAACTTAAACTCACAAAATTAATATATTAAATGCTTCAATTTATAAAATAGAGTCGATTAAATATTTATTTAATAGTTAAAAAAGATTTAAAAATTATTTCCAAAAGTTATATTAAATATACATTAAATCAATATTTTATATATAAAAATAAAAAATAAAAATTATTGCTGTTAATGTAAAGATATGTATAATTATCAAAATTCAAAACTCTACATTGGAAAAAATAGATCACTCAAAATTTAAGGTACCATAAAAGTTTTTCCAAAAAGTATATGGGTAATTTTATATATTTATCCAATATTATTTTTTCCCATTTCGAAATATACTTTCCCTCTTTTATTTATTATCTTATTTTAAGTTAAGGGTAAATGGTTAATTAATTACTTAAACCCTAAATTTTGATGAAATTATTATTGCATATCTACTGTTTGGTAAAATTAATCATCTCTAAAGTTTAGTTTCATTAAACTATTTAGCCATTTTATTCAAAAAGTATCATTTTACTGTTAAGGAACCAGATAGTAAGTCAATGGCGAACATAATAAACTAAATATCTAAAATACACAGATACCTTAAAAGGTTCAACGTATATGTGTTATGCTTGTGTCAAATATCGACACCTTTCGGACACTTACATATTTTAGAAATTAATTTCAAACACTTTAAGAACACTTTTGAGGACACTTTAAGAACACTTTTGAAGATATGTTAGAGACTGACAGTGATTTTCGCAAGTGTACGAAATTGCTACAAGTAATATAGAATGAGTAGAGTATCGTATCCACAGGGATTGTATACCAAGTACCAAAATTATGTTACAGTGGAATTTTCGCAAGTGGTACGAAATTGCTAACAAGTAATATAGATGAGTAGAGTATCGTATCACAGGGATTTGTATACAAGTACCAAAATTATGTTTAACCCATTAATTATTTAACAATAAATTGAGAGAATTTTGTGTTTTCAAATGTAAAATAAACGAGAGTCAAGTAAACAAAAATTAATTAAAAGAATCAAAGGAATTGAAAACTACTGGGGTTTTGATTTCACTTAATTCTATCCAATTTTATTTCATTAGTTCATTATCAATTTTATTAATTCAACGTGGGGAAAACAACTCTGAATTCACTAACTAAGCCTCTTCTGATATATTTTGCTAGCTATTTCTACATTCCATTTAATTATCTATCTTCGCATAGCGCATCAAATATGAATTATCATTAAAGTTATGTAGTTGTTTATGAAATTTACAACTTAAGGTTGATAATCATAAAAATCCTCCATGAGTCCAAACCATATACGCTTCCGCATCAAGTTATTATTCTCATGTGTTTTAATTAATCTTTCATATAAAAGAATCTTCTTTTTCGATAGTGAAATAATTGAAATAATCAATCTAGCCTAGGGGAAAATTCTGGCCTAGAAGCATTAAGTTCATTAATAAATCCATAAACTTGAATAAGGAATAAATCTAATTGCATAAATTGGAAAAGAGATTAAGCAATACATCAAACCTCTAAGTATAAGAATTTAGTTACACCTAGTACTTAAATTAAAACCCAATAATACTTGAATAAATATTACATAATCAATAAGGAAATAATGAAAGAAATAAACAGAATTAAGAGTTTTAGAAATAAGAACTAGTGATTAAAATTGCTTGGATGGCTTCCTTGAAACTTTGCTACAACTCTTGAAATACTTAACTTTCTAAAAATAAACTATATACAAAGCTATAAATGAGAGAAAGAGTTATGGAGTTATAGTGTAATGTGTTGGGATGATTTTTACAATGCATCCTTCCTCTCTTTATATGGATTTTCTTGGGAGAGAACTTCTACATTGTTAAGGGAATAAATTCCACCTTGTTTATAGATCAAGTTCTCAATCAAGCCTTGAATTTTCTCTCAATCATGTCTTCCATGTGCCATAAATTAGGCTTGACTTGTAGTGAAGAAAGTTGTCCAAGATAGCTTCTTCAAGATTAGCTCTTGAAATTGGTAGGAATTTGTTGGCAATTTTTGACTAAATTTAAGCTCTTTATCTTTGGCACGGGCGTGCTGATTGGAACGGTCTGGGGCGTGCCAGGTTCTGGAAGTCTGGGCGCAATTGTAGCACGGGCGTGCGGCTCAGTATGGGTTGGGGCGTGCGCGCCTCTGACTGTTTGCTTGTTTTGCCTTACTCTTAGCACATGCGTGTTGATTGGCACGCCCTAGGGCGTGCTAATTTAGTTTTTGCCTTATTTTTGTCCTTTTCTTGCAAAACCCTGCAAATTTTCTCAAGATCAAGTGAGTTGTGTTTCAAGAAAGCTTTTAAATAAAAACATAATAAAATTAAATAAAAACTAATTTAAATAAATTAAAAAAATTAAAAATACTAAAAATCTTAAATAAAAATTACATTAAAAATACTATAAAAATATCACATATCAGAGACTTAAATAAATTAAAAATACTAAAAATCTTAATAAAAATTACATTAAAAATACTATAAAAATATCACCTATCAGAGACACATTTAAAAAATAAAATGTGGAATATTTTTGATGATTAATTTTATTTTTTAAAAAAATATTTAAATTCCTTAAATTGTCAATTTATTTGTAAATAATTTAGAATGCTATGATTTTCAACGGTGATGTTAATTTTGAGAATTTAACTAACTATATTGAAATAAGAAATTATATATATTTTATTTTATATTTATGATTTATTATAAATGATTATTTATTTAGTTGAATTATTAATAAATTATACTTATTTAATGTAACATGCCCTAAGCGTGTTGGTATCTTACTTTTAAAAAAAAATTATCATATCATGTGCCTGTATCTATGTAATCTAGCTAAATATCCATATTTTATTAAATATGAAAGAACATTTAGTTAAATATTATAGAGTATTTAAGAGCAAAAATAATACTTTTTTAAACAAAGTGATAATATATATATTTTTTTGAACTTAAGTGATAAAAAAGTTTAATAGAACTAAATTCCAGAAAGAGTCAATAATTTTAACAAATAGTAGGGGTGCGATAATAATTTCAATCAAAAATTAGGGACTAAATAACTAATTAATTACTCTTTATTTACGACAATGTGATCTTATTTAAAAGTGACATTGATAATGGTCATGTACATTAGAAGTAGGGTAGACTTTGCCATAATTGAGCAGCATTTGGTGAAGTTCTGTGTGGTGTAATATATGAGAATGAAGGCTAAAAGAACATCTCCACGAGAAGTCAAAGCCAAAGGCCCAATTTCAGCTGTTCTAATAGATATTTATAGTAGCTGTCGGCTGTTTTACTAGCGATTAGCCAATGGATGTTAGCCGTTAGTGATTAGTTATTTATATAGCGGTTTAAAATAAAAGTGTTTGCTAAAAATAAGTGTTTGATTAGCTGTTTAATATAAAAAGACAAAAAAGAATAAGGTCATAGACAACAAGATAAAAACAAGTGATGGACATATGCTTGATAAAAAATTTATAAAACGCTAAATGTTCATGAGGATAATATTTCATAAAACACTACCTCAAACTCTAAACGTTAAGATAAATGTAACGTTACCGAACAAAACAGTTAATTAAAACAGTGTATTAATTCAATTAAAACACTAAATACTACTCCAAACGCTCTTACCGAACAGAGCCAAGGACTGAAAATAAGGTCGAGCTCAAAGATTAGAATAAGGCCTTCAAATTTTGACCAGTTCAAGCTGTTTTTCTTTTTCCTACAAAAGAGAGGTTAATAAGCGACGCCAACAACATCACATTATGATCAATCCAAATAACAAAACCAAGAGGAGGAAAATCATAAACTCGAACTCCTAAATAATAATGCGATGAATAGATATATTTTTAATTAATTGTATATTCTTTTTATTGTTTTATTCACCAAATTGATGACAACTTTTATAATTGAGAAATCTCGAATTTAAAACCGTTCAGACCATACTAGTTAGCTAATCCTATATCATTTTTAAAGGGATAGAATGGGTGGAAAAGAAACTTAACTTTAGAGGGAAACATATTAAATGCATGTTGTCATAATCAATAATTTTCAACTAATTTGTCTCCTAATTAATTATTCATATTGTTGATGCTGATGAGTTGTTTGCACATGATAGATCTAATGAACCAACTAACTATGCATATCGATGAGTTTTTCAAATGAATTTTAATATCATATGACTTTTTTACCATATAACCAATTTTATGGTAAATATGGAAAATTTTTTTTTAAATATAGTAAAATTTTGATTTTTACCTAAATGTAAGTCTTTAATCAATATTTTTTGTCATCATAAAAATATCTCCACAGAATTTTAAAAATATTATACAAATTAATGAATAATCGTGTATAAACTTTTATTATGCATTACTATATTCCATATTACGCATAAACTTTTTTTCAAAATTGATTTACAAATAACAATACAAAATAATAAAAAAAAACTAAAAGAACATGAAAGAAAAAAATTTTAGTAGCATTTTCCATTAAAAAGTTTTATGCAACTTGCTGTTTAATATTTATTATCCTTTCTTCAATATGAAGTTCATTTTTGTTTGGTCCAGGCTGTTGCCTTCTTAATTATTTCATATTCAATTTAGGGTTTGCTCTATATATAATAAGACTACAAGGAGCTTTAATAATCACAAAATTTGGGGATTTTTCTCTCTATTTTGTTCTATATATCCTTCATCATAATATATATAATTTTATCTATGGGTTCTTTGTCTAACTCCAAGCTTCCTGTGATAGACTTCTCAAGGGCAAACTTGGAGGCTGCAGGAACAAGTGGTTGGGTGAGCAAATGCAAGGATGTGTTGAAAGCACTAGAGGAGTATGGATGCTTCGTAGCTGTTTATGATAATGTTCCTCTTCAACTTCATGAAGACTTGTTTAATGTACTAGAAGAATTGTTTGACCTTCCTCCTGAAACCAAAAGGAAAAATGTTTCTGATATACCTTTCAATGGGTATATCGAATATGTACCCGACCGACCTTTCTTTGAATCCATGGGAATCACTCGTGCAGAAACTCTGGAAGACACTCAAGATTTCACAAAAACCATGTGGCCTAACGGCAATGATAATTTCTGGTGCATGCGATCTTTTTTTACCATTAAGCAAACATTTATGACTAATCTATTTTAATTATTATCACTAATCAATGTATTTTTATTTGTTTTTGTATTAATTACTTGATAGCCAAAATGTTCATTCATACTCAAAGGCAGTGGAAGAGCTATATCAGATGGTGATGAAGATGATATTGAATGGCTATGGCATAGAGAAGTACTACGAGCCCCATATGGAATCTACCACTTACTCTTTGCGATTCATAAACTATAATCCTGAAGAAAATGAAACAAACATGTTTATGGTCCCTCATAAGGACAAAAGTTTCCTTACCATTCTTCATCAGAATGATATCAATGGTTTGGAAATCAAACCAAAAAATGGACAGTGGATTAATGTTGACTTAGCTCCTTCAAATTTTATAGTCATAGCAGGCGAAGGAATCATGGTATGTGACTGCTACTCTAACATATTTTATTATTATTTCGGATCGAAATAATTGTAGGCTACATAATAAGTAATTTTCTTTTTTTAAACAACGTTGATCTAAACTAGTGATAACTTTTATGATGGAGATCGCTCGAACTCAAAACTTTACATTCCGTATCTTCTACAAGAATTTGAGACTTTTTACTTCTCACATCAATTAAACTACACTTGATTGACAATATATATATATTTATGGAGCATTGAAGTAATTAAATGATTTGACTTTGATGATAGGGATGGAGCAATGACAGAATTGATGCATGTGAGCACAGGGTGAGAATGGAAAGTAGAGAGAAAAGACGAACGGTTGGCCTATTCTCATACATAAAAGGAATAACACATGTGCCTCAAGAATTTGTTGATGATGACCATCCATTAATGTATAAACCGTTCGATCACATTGGTCTGCTTTATTTCTTGGCTTCCCCTGAGGGTCATAGTACTTCTCTGTCCCATACTATGAAAGCATATGCCGGCCTTTGAGCTCTTATGTATATATATCCCTGTCTTTAAAGGTGTGCTCTTGATCTCTGAATAAACGTGGAAGTGGTTTCCTATTTGCTACTGACATTAAAATCACCATTTCTTTCTTTTTTTTTTTCTTTTTAAAATAAGTAAAAGACAGGAAAAATAAAAAAGGTATATAGAATGATATAAATGTGGCCTTTGAAACATTGAAGAAACTGCTACTATTTGTCCCATAATTATAACGTTTCTATTGGAATGTAGACATGTCCCTGGAGGATCTTTGCCAACCATCTTTTGTTTCCATGGTTTGTTTTAGTTTCTCCAAGGCATGACAGCATGCGGTTCAAAAAGCAAATGCTGGTACCACTTATATATTGGAGGGAAAAAAAAAATCTAAAACTAATTATGCAATTTCTAAATTATAATTACGTTAATATTTTGATTTTTTTTTAAAAATAGAGATCAAAAATTTAATGAAACTATAAGTTAGTAATCTCATAATTAGTTTTGACTATGATTTAGAGATAAGATAATACTCATTCTTACACACGAGATCAATTTTGTATCGCATCAATAGTCAAAATATGATATTTTGGATAGAAAGAAAGCGGAGTATGATGGGATCTACGAGACCGTGGTTTCTAAAAAATTTAGAAAAACATATTATGAAAAAATTGCATTTAAATAGTTCAAAACATGAAGAAAAATGATATTTAGTCTCTAAAAGTTAAACGATTTCATTTGGCTCCAAAAAATGATATTTATTGCCAATGCCATAAATGATATACGCTGTGTCAACTTTGTTATTTATTGATATTGACCCTAATATGATGCCACCAGTCATGTTACCACGTTCGTGTCGGTATTACTTCTCCGTACACTTTGGTATTCACTTAATCAAAAATAATAATAATCCAAAAGTGTTGGTAAATTATTTTGTTGGGATAGGAATCTGTATTGAATAATAATAAAATAATTCAAAGATTTAAAAGGAATAATTATTACTTAGTTCCTCGATGGATGATACATAAAAGATACAGTTCGATCATCTATAACCGGTATATCCAGCTTGAATACTGCAGAATCCATAGAGAGTGTGATGATTTTTATATCTAATGCTCAAAACCGAGAATTTTAGTTAAGCAATTACTATCAAGATTAAATTAAATCCAAAATTAAAAAAAAAAAAAAAAAATGCTCAAAACCGAGAATTTTAGTTTAAGCAATTACATCAAGATTAATTAATCCAAAATTAAAAAAAAAAAAAAAGACACGAAACCAAGAAAGTAGCAAAAACGCTTGGACAATCGCTGAAAAAAAAAAAAAAAAAAAAGACACGAAACAAGAAAGTAGCAAAAACAGCTTGGACAAATCGCTGAAGAATGCTTTTGAAAACAATGGGATTAGTGATTATAAATAAAGTTCAAAAAAATAAAAGAATAACCCATGATTAACATTGCTTGGATTACCTAAAATCAGTTGCTGTTCAAAAATAAATAAATAAAAGTGAAGTTCCTTTGAAGATTACAGAATACCTTTTTATCCCTTTGAAGGGTGTTAGGTATGAGTTGTTGTACATTTTACAAAGTTCATCAGGAATTATTGGTGAAGAAGATTACAAAAGAAAATAATATTGTAGTCTTCTTCATTAGTAATATCTATTATGGTTGAGACTCTTTCCACTCTAATCTGCTAAGCCCATCAACAATTGCCTTGCGAAACTCACCATTGTGCAGAAGGAAGGATGAAACATGCCCTCCGGTAACCCATCTCACCTCCGAACCCGGCCAAGCCTTTTGAAGCTCCATAACAGAATGCTTTGGTATGTAACCATCGTCCTAAGAGACAAAAATTGTAGTTCGGTTGGATATTTAAATAATAAGTTGATGAACAGAAGATTATACAAAGAATAAACCGATTCTATGCATAATGCCTATGCGATAGCATCAATTAGCCGGCTCATCATAAATGATAAAACAGTAAAAAGCTAATTGAATAATTTCATCAGTCTTTTTTTAAAAAACATCGTACGGTAGTAGTAAGATATTTTACTTACAGTTGCAGCAACAAATATTACAGCATTGGGATTTTTGGGAATTGGAAAGCGCGTGACATCTGTGAGAGACAATACATTTCGCATCCGCTCTTGCACTTCCTCGAGAGTTATTGCAGTCTTTTGCACTGCTAGATCCTCCCTCAGTGCCTCCCATGCAGTACCATACCTTAATATCCCTTCACAGAATGCCACAACAGCAGAATGTGGGGAGAGAAAAGGAAAAGTTGCAACAGGTGTGGGGTGCAGTGATCCAACCATTGCAGCATGTACTCCCCCTAAATTCAATAAGATCAAATTTTAAAATAGACATGGACCTAAACAAAAGATGAGATATCAAGAACACCGCTTATTATCCATTGGTGCTCTTAAACAATATTACTGTTTAAGCAACTAAATCAATTCAATTGTTTAAATGACCAATGGCAGACGCAGGAAAGATAATTACAACTTTGAGCATCGTGAAATACAATTGTTTTTACCCATGCTAAGTCCACAAACGCCCATCTTGCCAAACCCTGCCTCAGACTCTAGCCAATATAACAGACTCCGTGCCTCCTCAATGGTTGCTCTACCTAATAAAAGCAAGTCACTCACACACAAGAGTTTTGCACCATGCTGCAGCATAGGGCGTCTATGTCCATAGAAAGGGCTGCAATTGCACATTTAAGTTGAATCAAAATGCTGATTGCTCACGTGAAAAAGCAAAAGAGAGAACTTTCTTCTAAAAATATCCATGACGCAAGCTTGACTCTAACCTCTCCAGCACCATGGTTGCGATGTTTTCCTTCAACAATGGTCCGCCAAGACGCAACCTCCGTTCGTATGTATGGTCCCCAGTGCCTGAAAAGTAAAGCTGAAATATATAACCTCTACCAGCTAGATAACAGTTAAAGTCACAACTCATGCTAGGCTGGCACTAGCACTTACTTCAAAGTCCAAAATAAGCATAAAATTTTGCAGAGATGACATAGTTTTGAGTCCTTTGACTAAAATGAGTCTTAATTATGCTTAATTCTGCTAAGAAAAGGGAAAGAACTCCAGCAATATGCAATCAGAGCCATAAAGCATTCCTTGCTATTAGATTTGAGCCAGATGGGAAAGCATATTAAAGCAGCATCTTGCATCATTTGCATGCAAATTCAGAAGTCCAAAATCACGCAGTAATAAACCAGGTTGACGAAAGGATATACGATTTGTCTTATGCAAGTGAAAGTCCCTTGCAGCAAACGAACATCTGGAGAAGTATTTAGAACTTGTTTGGCAATGAATCCACAGAACTTTAAGGAGTTCAATTACAAACCTACATTTGTCATTGTGATTCACAAAAATTCAACCAAATTTGATAGAATTGCAAATGAATCCAAACAAACAGGATTGCTAGTAAGGCTAGAAATTTAAAATGAATTCTACGTTTAACAGATAACATACCAAAGACAAATTTCATTAATAGATGAATTTTTTTTTCATGAAAGTCATTTGATATTCCTTTATTCCAAACAAAACGTTGAAGTAAAAACACCGTATTCAAATTCCTACAGATTTTCAACACCAATTTAACCAATGGTAGCATTCAAACTTTGACCCAAAGTGAAGCAAGTTAGCAAGCGTTTTACTGTATAACACATAAAAAATGCCCATCAACAAAGTTATAGAACAATCCACAAACCACATTGAAAGAACCCGTTTGGGCAAGAAACAAATTTACAATGTTCCCAATCAATTCAAACCACCTAAACCAGATATCCTATCCAAATTTCTCTAAAAAAAAATTAAAATAATTAAAACAACCAAAAATTTGAATCTATTACATAAATAGTAAAGGGAGAATAAGCTGAGAAAATGTTTCCTATAATTTCAAATTCAAGTAAAAGCAAAACATAGACCAGATTACCTGCAAGATGAACCACACAGGCCATCTTTTGAGGAGGGACAAATTTTGGTACAAGAAAAGCAACTCTTGCAGTGTGACTCTCAGGAGGCAATGCACTAAGGAGCTGCTCATCACAAGGGGTTCTAAATATCCCTTCCCTTAAACAAGCACTTTTAGTCTCCCAAACTGTTCTCCAAATGGGCTGTATCAAACTCGGCGGCCAATTCTGGCCTTCCGCTTCAGGGAATAGCTGCTTCACCAATCTTTCTAAGAGCTCAAGCTTTGAACCACCCCATCCTCCAGAGAAAAATGGTGGGCTAATTTTTGTTCTGTGCATAAATGCTCCATAAATATGGTCAAGAACATAATGAAGCATTCCTAAATTAACTGTCACCATTTTTTTGTGACACCCAGAAACTCAAAACACCAAAAAGGATCGAACTGAATTAATTTCAAAGAAACCCAGAAGTTAATGTACAAAGTATATGACTATTTTGAAGACAAAATGAAATTAAATTCAAGAAATTTAAAAGAAACCAATAAATTCGAGTACACAAACGAATAAACTGTCATCAAAGAATCGTACAATTAGATCTAATCACAAAAAAAGTCCACGAATTTGAAAAGCAAAACCAGATCCATTAAGTTAATTGATGGGGAAAAAATGAAACAGACAGAAGAATAAGATTATACTGTAAGAATCAAAAGTGTAATGAAAGTGACAGAACGGGGAAACTGATAATAAGAGATAAAATGGTGTGAAGATTAAAAATAATGTCAAAGAACAGAGGGAAGATGAGCTGGCTAATTGTTAGAGAATCGAGAGAAGATCCAGAAATGATGAAAAGGAGAGAATGCTTAAAGGGAAAAAGAATGCAAGGAATTACACAGTGACCTAAAAAACCAGGGGATGAAGATCAAAACCGGCGAAATGACACGGTGGATTAGCACTCCTTTTGGTTAACTCTTCAATCCTACACCCACCACCTGATTTTGTTTTCTTTTTCATGAATTTTGATTTTGTTTATTCCATGATTATTGTTGTTGTTGGAAAGGGACGGAGAAGATAAGGTTCAATTATTCTTTGCGTAATAATCAATATATATATTAATTTAATAAAAATAATCAATATTATATGGATAGTTTACACAATACATATTGCATTTAAAATTTTAGGTTTCTTATAAAATATTAAATTTATTTGAATTACAATAAATAACTGAGTAAATTAATTACATTATCTTTAATTTAATTGAAGTAATAATTATTGATCATATATAAAGATAAACATGAAAAAAAAATCTCGGTTGGTTAGCTTATTATATGGAGTAAATAGGACGTCCACACGCTTATGACACATTATACTAAATAAGTAACACATTAATATTTTAATTAAATAAATAATCATTTATAATAAATCAAAAATATAAGATAAAAAAATACTTAATTTCTTAGTTCAATATAGTTAGTTAAATTCTCAAAATTATCATTAAATAATCATTTATAATAAATCAAAAATATAAGATAAAAAAATACTTAATTTCTTAGTTCAATATAGTTAGTTAAATTCTCAAAATTATTTTTTTTTTTGAAGAAACTCAAAATTATTGAAAAATATATCAACAGTGTGTATGCATTTTTTGATACAGCTCATATCATATATAGTTTTTGCTGCTGCATATCTTATGAAAGGCTTCACAAAATATTTAAGAAAGCGTATCCTAGCATTGCAACTTTTTAATAAATGTTAACGAGATACAATTTATTATTTTATTATATAATTTTACTATTTTAAATGATATTATAAAATATTATTATTTCATTATTTTATATTACTCCGTGCGACAATTCTAACACTAGTTAATCTTAAAATTCATGAAGGAATTCTAAATAAAAACCTCAATATCCTTAATTAACCCTTATTATTCTATATTCTATATGTTACTCATAGTACTATTTGTAACTACATTGCAATCTTCGCCATTATCTAATTGGTAGCTACCAAGAGTTGACAGGCAGTGATTCTCAGTCTAGAGGTAAAATCATTCTGAAACCTTAGCGATTCTTGGCATACCAACTAAAAGAAGGCTCTGCATATCTGTGATTTCCCACCTCCGGCAATTATTATTATTCTAAGCAGCATCAAGCGTTGAATGTGTTTTATTTGAAAAACGATGGTGTTTTCTCTAAGCAGCTATACGCGGTGGCATTTCCTTTTGGCAATTCCTTTACAGGTCCCCTTTCTTTCTCTCGTAATTATACTCATTTTGTTTAAATTGCAGTTTTCAATTTTAAATTTAAAACCTTTGTTGTGTATGTGCTCTTTGCAATTTCTATTGAGCAATCTTAACTGCCTATACATTGTATGTGATGATGATGGATGCAAATAAGGATAGTAAGTAAGAATTGGGTTTTAAGAAATAAAATCAGTTTGGTGTTTTGAAATTAAAACAGCTGTTCCAGAAAGCTGTTCTTTTAGATGCTGTTGGTAAAATAGTTTAGGATTTTTTTAATCGTTTGAAAACTTTCTTAACTAGAAAGTATGAATTTCACCTTAAGATAAATTTTAATGACTTTTAATCAATAATTTTGCAATAATTTTGCATTTTTTAACAACATAGAACCAAACAGACACTTGCTATACTCCTGCATTTAGTTACATTTTGAAGTCTTGAATTCGATGTGCAGGCCCTTCCCAGAAAGAGAGGCGAAAAATTATTGAAAAGAGATGAGACGTAGCATTTTCCATGTCTAACTAATGCCTTGTAGTCTTAACTCCTTGCTAGAATGATGGAAATAGGTTTAGCCTAGTCATTGGAAAGCAAATTAAGGGATTAGCCCTTGGAAGTGTTATACCAGGTCCTTCTTCCATTTCAACAGTGCTATTCCCTCCATCAACTTTCCATTTAAACCATTGAAAATTATGGCAGCAAGTGTTGTTTGTACTATTTGTAGTGCTAGTGAAGTTCCAGGGCACGCTCTTCTTCCACTTCCAAATGGCAATAGATGGAAATACTGCCCCCTGACATCTAGCTGACTCTGCACGCTCTTCTTCCACTTCCAAATGGCAATAGATGGAAATACTGCCCCCTGACATCTAGCTGACTCTTTCCATTTGCCTCTGCATTAGAAAACCTTTCTGGGCAAAATTCAAGTGGGTTTTCCCAGTGTTTTGGATCCCTTCCAAGAGCCCATATATTAACAAACAGTTGAGTCCTTGCAGGAATTTCATATCCATTAATAGTACAATCTTCAGTTGACTTTCTCACAGTTAATGGTCCTGTTGGGTGAATCCTTAGTGTTTCCTTCACTATAGATTGGAGGTAGGGGAGGTTTATTATATCTGATTCTTCTACTAATCTGCTCGTCCCTACTACAGAATCTATTTCTTCTCTTGCTTTCTTCATAATATCTGGGTGATTTATTAGCTCTGCTAGTGCCCATTCTGTTGTAATTGCAGATGTGTCAGTCCCAGCTGCAAATATATCCTGTACAAGGCAGAAATCAATTCTTAAATTTATTATATGATTTTCTATTTTCTGAGACATCAAATGATGATATTGTTGCTTTGGCTATTATTAGAACTGTAATCAGCTAAAATTCACATGAGATATGTTGTTGGATATTTCAAATAGTGGTTAATTTGTTATTTTGTATTTAAAACAATAGACTCATTTTGCAATGGTTGATAAGGTTCTTCTTCTTTGTTGTCTTTTTTTTGGAAAAAAAGGGAAAAAACTAAAGCTGAATCGTAATTGCATCATCTGTTATGAAGGATTCGGTTGGCATCATATCTTATTTCCATTAGAATGATAAGCATGTTTAAATATGATCCACATGGAGCACTCTAAGTCATAGTTAGAAAAAATTCATTATTTCTTTGGAGAAAGCAAACTCCAAAAAAAAAAAAAAAAAAGGTTCCAAAAAAAAAAAAAAAAAAGGTTCTTTAAAATGCAATTAGGTTTGGCTAATAAAGAATAAAGTGGTTGACTAGACATTGGAACATTTAGAAATTCTTTATAATTTTTGTCTCTTAATGCCCAATTACGTTAGAAATGGCCGTGAAATTATGTTATTTATGTTAACACTAACATCTGTTTATTCATAAAATTGACAAAAAAAAAAAAAAAAAAAGGTTCTTTAAATGCAATTAGTTGCTAATAAAGAATAAAGTGGTTGACTAGGACATTGGAACAATTTAGAATTCTTTATAATTTTTGTCTCTAATGCCCAATTAGTTAGATGGCCAGTGAAATTATGTATTATGTTAACACCTACATTGTTATTCATAAAAAATGACTGAAATAGGACAATCTTGTTAGTCTATAGACTGTCACTGACCTTTAAGGTTTTACTTAAATGATTATCAGCCATATGAATTAAGGAGATGATACATTACCAGGATAAAGGCTTTGATGTTTTCTTTAGTCAATTTTATTTCTGAGTTCTCATCTTCTGATATACTTAATAAAATATCAAGTAAATCTTTCATTGAATCTCTTTCACCTGTTTCCTTCTTTATCTTCCTTGCCTCTTCATGCTCTGCTATGATCCTATGCATCATGGTGTCAAACTTTTCACGAACTTTCTTAAGCCTTCTTCCAAATCCCTGCAAATCCAAGTTCTTACAAAACCAAATGTAGTCTGACAAATTGAATTTCCCTGTAAGCTCTGCAACCTCTTGCACCAACTCTCTGATCTCATTGGCTTCATCTTCATTATTTGAACACCTTTCACTCATTAACATTCTTGATATTACATTATTGGTTAGCCTTAGAAGCTGCTTTCCAACATCAACAGGCTCATTTGCATTTGCTTTCTTTAGCATTAATTTTAAAAACTGCCCTATCTCTTCATGCCTGACTGGGAGGAGCTGGTCTAACATTCGACCACCAAGAAGTTCTGTCATGCAAATTTTCTTCATGAACTTCCAGTAAGGTCCATAAGGAGTAAAGGAGAAATCAGCTGAGCCATATGTAAGGTAATCTACAGCAGCCGCTATTGGACGATCCAAGAAAGAAGTTTCATGGGTTTTAAGGAACTCTTTTGCCATCTCTGGGGAGGAAGCAACAACACAAGGTACAGAGCCAAGGAATAGGTGAATTAATGGTCCATATCGAGTTGAAAGTTTGTGAAGGGCTTGATGAGGTATTGGAGCAAGGAGATGGAGGTGTCCAATGATTGGCAGGGCTGGTGGGCTTGGTGGAAGATGGCATGTGCTTCGAAATCTTTTTATTATCGCTCTAACTGCAATCACAGATATTAGCCATATGAGAAAAAGTATTATGTACTCTTGAAAATCAGCCATGCTTTAATCTTTTTGATTCAATTGAAGAAGGTATCTAAGAGCTGTTTATAGAAGGGAAGCTCTGTCTTTTATTGCTAGATATGTCCCTTGATGCTGCACAAGAAATGGTGGGGGAGCATTTCAAAGACGGCACGTTGTCTCAAATGATTTACTAAAAACAAATTAATTAGGTTTTCAAGAAAATTACTTGCTTTTTGACTCATGCTATTTCCTTTGTTAATTTTCTGTTACCAATAATTTAGTTTACCCTGAGTTGATATTTTCTTTTGTTAATTATAGGTTTCTTTGTTTAGACAATTTCTGTTTCACATAAAAACTATGTGTCTCTTATACATATTATATTGCAAGCTATGACTAGAATATACACTCTAGGTATCAAGTTTTGGCCTGCAACACTGATTTGGGTGAAAAGCTTGTGGGCTTTTTTAAATGCTAAAATTTCCATTCCAATTGTGGAACTTCTTTTTTTCTCCATCTCAATGGGATAAACTGAATATCTGTGGTGGGCCATAGGGTTGAAAGATGTTTAATTGTGTTATTTTGTTGTTTTTTTCCAACTTGCTAGTATCCTAATGGCCATGGCCTACTCCTTTGTTGTTTTTGTCACATCCCTGCATCATCTTTCTAAATTTTAAAATACCAGCATTTTTCCCCTATTTGCAAGCAGCCGGCCAGGTAAGGGCTGAATATGACTAATTCTCCCCAATGAGGTCAAATCATATGGTGCCCAGAATGACCCAACCTGAATTATATTATTAGCAAACCATCAAAGCAAACATTGAACAAGTCTTTACATCTTTGTGTATGTTTCATAAGTGCTTTCCAATCATTTTATACCTGTATAAGTGTTATGGGTTACTATTTCTATTTAGACTGATTATTTTCTTCTTTCATTTTATGTCTCTATTTTTTTAGTTGATGCGATTCTTTTGTTTAGTTATAGTTAGAAATTCAAAACTAATCTTCTTGCTATTTTTTTAATATGTTATCTGGTGAAATATTTACTTGATTTATTTTATTAAGACTTCCTAACTTATGCTTTTTGTGAATCCTTTAAATGCAACTTGGAAAAGCTGCATTTTGAAAAGTAATTCTACTGTTTATCACTAACAATAGAAATTTTTTTATCTTTTTCCTTTAGTATTTTGTTTTGCAGATATTCACCAGTTTAGATTCATCACTTTCATTAATCAATACTGTGATCACGTTCGCTTGATAATTAAACAATATTTGTGAATCCCAATAGCATTTGACTCTTTGACATCCACATGACCATGGTTTCTAACTGTTTCATGAACAAACATTATAAAAATTAAATAAGGTTACAATCTGGATGAGACCATGGTCAGATCGATAAAAATGGAGTGAGCCTAGCCACAGGGAAACAAACGAGGGAATTAGCCCTGGGAAGGGTTAGCCCTGGTCCCTCTTCCATGTCAACTGTACTATTCTCTCCATCACCAACCCTCCATTCAAAGCACTGTATCAGAGCAGCAAGAGTTGCTGGAACAAATTGCAGTGCAAGTGAAGCACCAGGGCAACTTCTTCTTCCTGTTCCAAATGGCAAGAGTTGAAAATATTGCCCTCTCACATCCAACATATTACTCTTTGCACTCCATTCTTCACCCATGAACCTTTCCGGCCTAAACTCAAATGGGTTTTCCCAGTAGTTTGGATCCCTGCCTAGTGACCAGACATTAACAAACAGTCTGGTCTTTGCGGGAATTGTATAGCCAGCAATAGAACAATCTTCAGAGGATTCCCTGACGATTAATGGTCCAGTTGGGTGAAGCCTTAATATTTCTTTTACTATAGCTTGGAGGTAGGGAAGGTTACCTATGTCTGATTCCTCTACTAGTCTTGTCTTTCCCACAACAGCATCAATCTCTAGTCTTGCTTTCTCCATTTTATCAGGGTGGTTGATTAGCTCTGCAAGTCCCCACTCTACTGTAATGGAAGATGTGTCTGTTCCAGCTCCAAATATGTTCTGTGGGATTGAAAATTTTCATGTCATTTTTATTCTAGTACATAGTTATAATTTATTTTTAAAATTTTATCATTGTCATAAAAAAAAAAAAAATGATACTTTCATCTCTCATCTTTGTCCCCACAGTATAAAATCCTCCAAAATATGGACAATCAATGCCATCTTTCCATAAAATTGTTGCAGGCAGAGCGATGAAAGCAAATTGATCTTGTCTATGCTTGTAGGCTTACAGCCTAATGACTTAACAACATTAATTTAACATTACTTGATAGATGCTATTAGCAATAATAATTAACAGCATCTGCAAATTTTTAACTGCACTATGATGGTGTTGCCTAATGTTAATAGCACTTTGATGGTACTAGCTGCTGAATGTTACTGATTGTGCTAGTAATGACTCAAGAGTTTTATACTTCAGGTAGTACTGCTGCTAATTCTTATTAGGATCAAATTTTTGTCTTTTAACAACATTTAGAGCTTGCTGTCAAAAATAGTAGTTTCTTGTAGTGTAACGTTATCTATTTGGCAGGAAATAGGAGACATGTTCTAAATTCTTTTTATTGCAATGTTGATAAATTCATGAGAAACGTACAGATGATGAAAATTTATTTTCAATAAATTATCTACCATAATGATATATTCAAGGAAAATAAATAAATAAATAATTGCTTGTTGCTGTGCTCATAGCTTCGTAAAAATCATATTTTTGAAAGTTTAATTTCACCTATGATCCTTAAACTTGTTATCATTCTTGTATCAATAAACTCACTAAACTTCGATTTTTGTTTCAATTCGTTTGCTGTTACTAGACTTTATTATAATTCCCATATGATAACCAAGTAAAAAAGGTTTTTGTAACATAGTTCTACAGTTAAGAGAAGATTACTTGTATGACCTTCTTACTTAATTAGCACAAAACAGATTTCGATAAATCTTGATAAAAATTTAACAGTTATGGCCTTATTTAAACAAATTTCTAGTGTTATTTTACTTGTACAAACTGAAATTCAACAAGTATACTGAATTTTATTGATTAAGTAAAGTTTGGCTGTGAACTAATCAAGCCAAAATCGAGCTTTAGTGAGGTTGACTTCGGCTCAATAAGGATATGCTTGAGCTCAAACTTGACTCATTTAAAAATATCCAAGCTCAAGCACGGCTTGGGCTCAGCCTGATAAATGTAAATGAGACAAGCTTGACCTTGAAATTTATCAAATAGCAAGAATACATTAGTCAAATAAAAATGAAGGCGTTTTGATGTGGGCTTAATTAACCTTGGATTATTGAGCTAGCTCGTTAGTGGCTCGATAAAGTTGGCTCACGAGCTAATGAACCGAGCTCGAGCTAGGTCTGTTTATTTAACGAACTCTAGAACTCAGCTCAATAAGCTTATCGAACGGGCTCGAGTGAGTTTTTATTGAGCTGAGCCTCGAGCAGTTTACGAGCAACTTGCTCCCCCTAAGTGAAGTGTAGTCCATTTTTTACAGTATATAGTATGCTCCGCAGTATGTAGTTTTGATGTGTTGATTGCTGTATGGATTATTAATAAAACTTGTAATATATTGAATTTTGTTGTAGTGAGGTAGATGTTTAAAAGCTAAAGCAGATGCCTATATCAGAGGAGCAGTGACTTACCATAACAAATGCCTTGACATTTTCTCTGGTTAATCTCCTCTCTGCATTCTCATCTTCATATATATCAAGTAAAATATCAAGCAAATCCTTCATTGTATTACCATCTTCATCACCATCCTTTTCCTTCTTTTTCCTTGCATTTTCATGCTCCTTCATGATCCTCTCCATCATATCGTCATATCTGTCTCGAGCATCCTTTAGCCTTTTCTCGAAACCTTGCAAATCCAAACTTTTGCAAAACCAAATTGTATCTGACAAATTAAACTTGGCACCTAACTCATTCAACTCTTTCACCAACTTTCTCACCTCGTCAGCATCATTTTCTTGATCAGAACATCTTGTTCTAAGCATCATTCTTGATATTATATTATTTGTCAATCGCATTAGCTCTCCTCCAACATTTACTGCTTCTTTTGCTTCAGCTTTTTTAAATACTACCTTCAAGAAGCGCTTTATCTCTTCCCGTCTAATCGGAAGAAACTGGTCTAATGTTCGAGTGCCTAACAATTCAGTCATGCAAATTTTCTTCATGAACTTCCAATGGGGTCCATAAGGTATGGTAGCAAAATCTGCGGAGCCATAGGTAAGATAATCAAGATTAGCTACTTTTGGACGGTTCATAAAATTAGATTCATTGTCTTTGAGTATTTCTTTTGCAATCTCAGGTGTGGAAGCAAGAACACAAGGTTTTGAGCCAATGAAGAAGTAAATCAAAGGTCCATAGCGCGTTGAGAGCCTGTGGAATGCTTGGTGTGGAATAGGACCTAGAAGGTGCATGTGTCCTATGATTGGGAGTGCTCTAGGGCTTGGAGGAAGGTGAGCTTTGTTGCGAGCTCGCGTGATGATTGTTTTGAGGATGAAGAAAAAAGCTAGGAAGATTATGAATTGTGTGGCATAATCTTGTATATCAGCCATGGTTGATCGTTGAAATGTGGAATATTAGTGTAGTTTCGCAGGATATAGTTGTTTGGAGCTGCTTATAAAAAGAGTGAGGGACGATATATGGCTGTTTTTAAATTTTGTTTATCTTTTCATTTCTGCTTATTATAAAATAGGTTTGGTGGGATTAAGATAGATTAGCAATTATTGCAGTATTGCAGAGTGATTAGAGCTTGTCCTTCTCTCTGTTGTTTTTTTTCAACAAGAATCTTTTCATTTCTTCATCAAGGAAAAATTATTTCTTGAAACTAGTTTGGCGGGTATGGCTTTGATTACGTATTCTTTTCTCATCCTTTTGTGGGTTTTTTTTTTTATTTTTTAAATTTTCTTATCCCTCTTCCTATTTAAGTTTAGTTTGAGGACCACTCCCGGACGTTATCAAAAAAATTAAGAATTGGCAATGTTGTCTTATTACATAGAACTTTCTTTGCCTTACCTTGGATTTTAACATAGTATTTCAAATATAGCATACGTCATGAATGTTTTTTTTAATAATTTATTATAGTTTTTAAAACGGTATTTAATTTGGAATTTCTTTAATGTTTATATTTAAGCTATTAGTGATTTTTTATTCTTAAAATTTAAAAAAAAAAAAATGTTGTCTTCATTACATAGAACTTTCCTTTGCCCTTACCTTGGATTTTAACATAGTTTTCAAAATATAGCATACGTCATGAATGTTTTTTTTAAATAATTTATTTATAGTTTTTTTAAAAACGGTAATTTAATTTGGAATTTCTTTAGAATGTTTAATATTTAGCTATTAAGTGATTTTTTATTCCTTAAAAATTTAAAAAAAAAACCTCTGTTAGTTACCTTACCCTCTTTATCCATATAGAGTTTCAGTTTCAGGACACTTCCTTGCTGACATTAATCAAGAAAATTAAGAAATCATGTGGGGCAATCTGCCGTCGGTCCTCCTATAAATTTTCCTTGCCTTCGACTTTAACATATTTTTCACCCATCAGCATAGCCATATGTCATAATGTTTTCTTTTCTTAATTTTCTTTTCTTGCTCTTGCATGAAACGAAAGTATTTTTTCTTTTCCTTGTTATAAATTTAATCCAACGTCCATATATAAAACCGAGAAGGGCAATGGAAATATTCTTCTTTTTAGGAAATGGAGATAATGAGCTATGCAAATTTAAAAGAAGTGCAAGCCAAGTTTTTTTTTTTTTCTTATTACCATTTCTTTTAAGGTTTTCTCTTTAATTCTCCATTCATAACTTTGAAAAGTTGCCAATGGTGATTGGTTTCATAAAATTATTTTTATAAAAATATTTGTTACAATCCACGTTGGTCTTCAATTACATTGCTTTTCTAGTGTTTTTCAACAAAAGATCAAACTGTAAATACCCAAACAAACCCTTTTCGCAGAAAACAATATTTTGAACTAGTGCCCTTGGTATTTTTACGCCTCCTGTTAGACTGATTGGAAAATGGGTTTAGCCTAAGTTACTGGAAACAGATTAAGGGATTGCCTTGGAAGTGTTATCGCAGGTCTTCTTCCATGTCAAACAGTACCATCTCTCCATCAACTTTCATTCAGTCATTGAATCATGGCAGCCAAGGGTTGTTTGTACCAGTTGTAGTGCCTAGTGAAGTTCCAGGGCCACCCTCTTCTTCCACTTCCCAAATGGCAAACAGTTGGAACATATAGCCCTCTGAGATCTTAACCTGATTGTTTTCCATTATCAGCAAGTTAAATTTAAATTTGATTATTATGATTAGATGTAATGTTTTGTTATTTATTGACATTTTGCCTTCAATTTGTATTTCGTTTTCTTTTTTTTATTTTTTTGGTAGAAAATTAATTTGTCTGTGTTTACTTTCAAGTATTGAGATAGTTAAGCTCAATTAACCTAAAATTAGGAGTTCATTGTCAATCAGGCAGAAAAATCTATTGATAGTTAAGCTCAATTAACGTAAAGTTAGGAGTTCATTGTCAATTAGGCAGAAAAATCTATTGGATTTTATTAGACTAATAAAAAAATTTTTGGGCACTAATTTAATTTTGAAGTCTATTTAATTAGAATTTAATAATATTTTAGCATGCAAAATAGATAAAAGTTGATTGATTTATTTAAATTAACTTTATTTATAAAAAAATTAACTTTATTATTTTCTAAGGGGTCTTGGTTTTCCATTCATGAAACTCTTTAATTTGAACTAAATTGAAAATATCTGTTGAATCTACTCATTTTGTTTCCCAATGTTATTATTATATTGTTTGAGTGTACACTATTTGTATATATATCAACAATAAGTCTTATCTAGGATAGCAAGCTGTCTCAATCACAACAATAAGTGTTATCTAGGATAGGAAGCACAATTAGTAGAAAAATACAAAAAAAAAAAAAAAAATTACGTTAAAAGGGGATTATAGCTCTTGATTCTTTAAGAAAAAAAAATACAAGTTGGTGCTCAAAATCTTCACAAACTTTCTTAAGCTTTCTTCCAATTCCGTGCAAATCTTTTTTGAATGGAAAACCAAATAAAGTATTTGATTCACTTGTAAGCCTATAAATAGGCACATTCTTTTTTTAATTCAATGAAGTGCTAAACATTGTTAATCATCTCGTGCATTTCCATTATTCATTCCAAAATTTCAACACATTACTGGATAGCATTAGAAGCTGTGGTCCGACATCGACAGACTAACCTGAATTTGCTTTCTTTAGCATCAACTTTAAAAAGTGCCTTATTACTGGGAGGAGCTGGTCTAACATTCGACCTCCCAGTAGCTCCTTCAAGCAGATTTTTTTCATGAACTTCCAGTAAGGTCCATAAGCATTCATGAACTTCCAGTAAGGTCCATAAGCAGCAAAGGCGAAACCAGAGCCACATGTGAGGTAATCTACAGCAGCCATTTTTGCCACTTACCTGGGAATTTACTTAGTGTAGTTAGTAAGTACAGTAATTCACAAATTGCTTTTGGTGGAAAAAGCCCAATTTCCACAACAATACGGACCATCCAATCGTTCACTCGCTTAGTCAGTCTGAGTAGGTGCCCCTTTTGCTGCTGTAATTCATGGAGATGTCCAATGATTGGTAGAGCTGGTGGGCTCGGTGGAAGATGGCTTGTGGCTCGAATTTTTTTAGTATTGCTCTAAATGCAGCCATGGATGCTAGCCATATGAGAAAAAGTATTATGAACTCTTGGAAATAAGCCATGTTTGGATCTTCCGGATTTAATTGAACAAGACAAGGTATCTGAGAGCTGTTTATTACTAGAAATGTCCCTTGATGCGCTGCAAGAATCAGCGGAGGGGCATGTCAAAGAAAATGATTTACTGAAAAGCAAATTAATAATAATGATTACATTTGTCAATCCACCATTGGTTTGTCACTCCATGTACGACATCTACATAGAATCACGATTGTATTATTTTTCCATTAGTCGTGAGTAGAATATCTTGAATTAAAATTAAAAACCTTAAATTGAAAATTGACTATTATTTAAAATTAAAAACCTTAAATTGAAAATTGACTATTATAATTGTATGTTATATTTAATTATTACTTAATTATATAATTATATTTGTTTTGGGTGAATTTGTTTTCAAATTTGAGTCTAAGATGTATTTTGGACTTAATTAATTCTAAATTATAAGTTGAAAGACAAGTTAGACAGAAAAAAAAAGAAGTTATTGGATTACTGAAAATTTAACAAAAAAAAGTCTTATTTCTACCATTAAATGAAAATATAATGGACAAAATAATAAAATGTGAAGACTAAACTGTTAAATATTATAGAATATTCTTATTGGTTTTCTCGCTTACGTGAGAAATGAAAGGTCTTGAGTTTAGCGCTCTATATGTTAATCCTAATTCACAAAGAAAATCTTGAAATAGATTATCATAATTTTAGTTTAATATCTTATACATAAAATTATACCATAATTATTGTAAGCAATCTAACTTGCAAAGTTGAAAATGTAAGTCTTTTATGATTATTTTTTATTTTCTTCAAATATTTTCTTCAAATTTCGAAACTTCTTTATTGTTTCCTTTTGACCAAATTGATTTCGAATTGGACTATAGGGCTTAAATTTAATTTATTTTGAATCTTTTAATTTAATTAGACTTGGCCTATTGGAATTATTTTGTTTTAGCTATGGAAGGTAAAATTTAATTGTAATTATCTTTTCGATCTAGTATAGGAAGAAATTGACTTAATTCAACGCGAACAATTCCTATAATAATTGGAGTTGGACATGATAATTTTATAGGAAACCTATCAATTCATATTATAGTGCTTAAATTTGACTATTTGAATTTTATATTAATGATTTCAATTTTAAAATTGGATTTGTTTTAAGCCTTAATTTAAAATTGGGAGAAATTGATTTGATTTTGACATTGATTTTTAATTGGAACTATAGAGCTTAATTTAATTGATTTTGACTAAAGGTCAGAAAAAAAGTTTGACTTAGTGAAAAAAAAAAAAAAAAACAAACACAGCCTTTTACACCCAACTTTGACTAATAAGCTAAAAAAAAAAAAAAAAAAAAAAAAAAAAAAAAAAAAAAAAAAAAAAAAACAAAAAAAAACTAAAAAAAAAAAAAAAAAAAAAAAAAAAAAAGAAAAAAAACTAAACCTAGCGCCTTCCAGAGGGGAAAAAAGCGAAGCATGGATACGAAGCTTGCCGTGAGCCAACATTCTCCCATTTATTAGTGTTTTAGAATAATAAAAAAAGAATATATTCTTATTTTGCTATTGTTTTTATGAAATTATATTATTGGGGAGTATTTTAGGAAATAAAAAAAATAGATGAGTTTAAATCCTGAATTTGTTAAAAATATGATTATGTGGATATCAATTGCACAGTTTAAGTTAAAGCACACTAAACATTAATCAAAATTGACTTCATACATAATTTAGTCCTTGAATTTTGATAAAATAAAAACTTTATGTTATTTTAAACTTTAAAATCAATTTTATGGTACCTTAATATATGTCATGACCCGTTTCTATAGGCCGGACCGGTACTGAAGTCCAGATAAATTTAAAATCTCTGAACCCGTAGTATCCCTACATTACAAAGTC